CATGATAGGTAATCTTAATATATTTTCTATTTTTGACCATACAAACCACATTTTCCTGTAACTATTGCCAATGGTCAACTTATAAATATTATAGGTTCCTTGACTACAAAACCAATTTTCTCTATTATCCTGTCATCTGTATTGAATCTATCTAAACTTGCATTCCATATGATTTTTGTGAATAAGTTAACTAAAGATTTGAATTATTTTATTACAATATTTCTTGATCTCACTGTGTTCTTAAAGATCTTACGATGAAGCAGATTATTGGTAAAAAAAATATATCAGATAATCTCTACATTCTTGATACCTGGGTGCCTCGATTGATTGTCTGCTCTAGTGTTATATCTCCATTTGAAGCACGTTGTTAATCTGAATACGGAGATATACCCTAGTCCGCATGTGAAATCTTATGGATACGACACATCTTAGTGGAAATGGGTTTGAATCTCATATTATCTGCAAAATTCTGGTGTGATAATTAAATTGCCCTTTATGGTGCCTCAAATCCGGTGTACCATAAAAGAACCAAACACATTGAGGTTGACTGTCACTTCATTCATGAGAAGATTCAAGAGAACTTGATTTTTACTGGTTATGTGAAAACATAGGAACAATTAGGTGATATATTTACAAATGTTTTGAATGGAACCCAAATTGAATATGTTCGTAACAAGATGAGCATGTTCAATATTTATACTTCACGTTGAGGGGAAGTTTTAAAATATTACAAAACATATTACGAAATACTTTTATATAATTATTAGTTGATTTTTTATCATTAATAGAGTGATTTATGTTTTTATATATAGATTCCTCTTCTATGTATATCTATGCCCTAACTCTATGTAATAAAAATATGTAAATATTTAGAATTCCTTTCACTAATTCTTACAAAGCAAAAACAAGTCTAAAATGATTAAATGAAATAGTTCTTTATTAGATGATGAGAAAAATGATTAAAGATTGAGGGATTTGCCAACAATTATTATTATATAAAGTATTAATATTTATTTTAAATTTATATTCTTAAATATGTTAATGGTTTAGTATTATTTCAATTATATCTTTATGTAGTTATGATTTCTTTGCTAGATTCATTATTATTTGTTTTGTGAAGGTGATGGAAGTTGTGGGTTTTTTTTTGCCATGTCAACATCCTCATGGACGTCATGTGGACATTCACATGGCATCCACATGACAAAGGACGTAATGCCACATCAGCTTCCATGCGTACATGGGCTTGTGAAGGTGATGGAAGTTGTGGGTTTTTTTTTTTGCCATGTCAACATCCTCATGGACGTCATGTGGACATTCACATGGCGTCCACATGACAAAGGACGTAATGCCACATCAGCTTCCATGCGTACATGGGCTAATGATGTTAATTGCTTCCTGATGGCCAAGTGCTTATTCGCATTACCTTGAATGTTCAGGTGAATTTGAACAGAAAAAACTTCAAGGACTTATTTGAACATTTTCGAATAGCATAGGAAGCAATCTTGTATCTTAGCTATTCCTTCCCTTACCTTTTGGGTTATTTTGAAGATGAGGAATCGGAAGACTTTTTATAGGATAGAATCATATTTTGATAGATTTAGAGAATAGTTCTAGACCCTAAGTTTCTATTGTCAAGGGGTCAACTACTGTACTCTAGAGAGGATCTTGGTTACCTACTAGATGTTTTACTAGAGATGTTAATATTTCTATATGGATTATACTCTCTGGTTGCTTTTATATATACACACACTTTTTCTCTCTAAATAATGTAGAGAGACCATATCTGTGG